TGATGTCACTGACCCACATGAGCTCCGTGCCCTGTACAATAATGGAATATACCAGAATGTTCCAGAGGGTTCTGGTACGTTCTGGTATGTTGTAGAACCTGGCAGCTAAGTCAGCGCCCAGTTCAACACCTCCCAGTCCAGCTTCGATGCAAATGGTGCCCATGGGTTCGTCTCCGGGGCTCCCGCCCCTGGGCCATCCATATAGTGACTATACAGGTTTGTTGGTGCGTCGTCCTGGATTGGTCGCCCTGCTGATCCCAGCGTGAACTTCTCAACCACAGGTTTCTTGCGTAGTCCATCTTCCGCAACCACGCGCTCAGCTCTAGCTCCGCCCGCTTCCTCCTCCACAGCAGCCATGGCGTCTTCCTCCCAATCGTCTGCCTCTGGGAGCACCTGAGGCGGAACCGGTTCCCACCTTGTTCCCAGGTCAGTCTCGGCTTCATCGTCTCCATCTGACTCTCCTTCATCCTCAGACTCACAGTCCAGCGGATCACGAGATTCCCTTTGGTTTTCTGGACGGTCTCCGCTCTCATCGACATCCATGCCTGGCTCTGTCCCAAAATCGCTCGGAGCATAGTCCTGCCCAAAGAAATCACCGCTGAAAGTCAGGAGAGGCACATCCTGGTCGCCTACTGCATCTTCTGCTCCTGACATATCGGTGCCGTGAGGCACAGGGACGTATGACTGAATATCCATGTATATGTCCTGGCACGCCGAATTGCCGGTACGTTGGAGGTGGTGTGTATATCCTGCCAGAGTAAATTGACAATTACATCCTGCACAGGTAGTCATTGTCGGAAGCCTATGCGCGCGTCCAAAGCAGCGGGAGCTCCCCAAGTCGCGTGAAGTCCGCTGCGGCAAATCCCTCAAGTCCATCCGGCAAGACGAGCCGTGCGCACCATGCCGCAGGCCCCGAATCCGGTATCTCCCTACACCCTGCTCTGAAAATTTCTCTGGCGCATCTTCCTCCCCTCTATCGACGTTTCCTCCGTCGTGGAAGCTCACCATCACCACGCTTGCTCGTCACATCTCCCGGTCGCTGCCTCGTCTCTCGTGATGTCAAAGACACAGACAGGGGCACCAGGTGCAGTTGCTCTCAGTCGAGGCCAGAAAGCAGCGCAGACGAGGGCCATAAACAAGCGGATTCGAGACGAACAAGATGCAAAAATTACAGCTAAACCTACGAGTAAGCACACAATGCGCTGTTCCGGTAATGTAACAGACTCACTGTGTGCGAACAGCTGCTCGAGACGCCAAAGTGAAGGCTGTTGAGAACCGCGGTACGTACTGTTATTCACTCGTTATCGTCGAGTGATGAATCACCTGGTGTCATGGTAGTGTGGATGCAATCTCAGGGAGCGACGCGGAAGCGTGCGGGCTCTGTGATGGCGCCCACGAACACAAACAAAAATAAAAAGACCAAGAACGGTAAGCGATAAATTTATCGTCCAACCATGTCCTCCTTGTCTTACCTATTCATCAGATTCTGCCTCCGTGGACAATTATAAGACGTTGGCCGATACACCGGCAGCAAAGGGTCGCCGTGAGCCGCGTTCCCTCCTCCATGCTGTCTGCACACTGACTGTGCACTGACGGCGATGACCAGTTTACAAACCCGCTGTCATTGCATCAGATTCAGACGGCTCGAGCGTGCCATCGGATGTCGATGACGTGGACGCCGACGATGACGCGGAAGGCCAGCGCGAGGCGGAAGCAGAGGAATCTGACGATGAGCAGCTCATGCAGATGGCTCCTCGTTCTCTGGCTGAGGCCTTGCAGTCTGAGGTGATGGTCTTCCTTCCCTCATCGATATTTGTACTCAGCGCTGTTCCATCAAGGCTCCCCTGTTTCAAGGACATCATTACGACTCAGGCGACGAGGAATACGACCCGGTCCTGCATGCGCCGCCCAAGATGCGGCGCAAGTCTCGCAGTGTCAGTACCTCGTCGTACGACTCTGGCCATGTGAGTGTCCCTGACGATGAAGCATCTGAGGACGGTGTACCATCGAGCACATCCCGTCGGTCGTCTGTTCATTCCGCTGGC